GCGAGAGTTGCCGCGCGTCTCTGTCGCGTCCCGGGCTGGAGGCGCCTGCTCCCCGGCGCTCTCCTGGCTTTGTTCCAGCGCCGCGGACCGGGACTGGGGGCGGGCGGTGGGTTCTCGGGCTCCTGGAATCCCGCAGCGCTGGCCTTTGGCTCCAGGAGCGGGTCCGCGGGTGCAGGACGCGCCCCTCCGGGAAGGGGGCGCTCCTGCCTAGCCATTCGCCCTTAGGTGGGGCCGGTCCGCGCGGCGGGGACCCAGCGAGCAGCCCCCGCCATCCTCCCCGGTCCGGGCTCCTGGCCGACCCCGCACCTTCTCCCGTTACAACCTCTGGACCTGATTCAAAGCCGCGAGTAAAGTTAGGCCGTTACGTGGCCAAACTGGGTCCCCCATTGTTCCTGCGCCTCCTCGCTGAGCGCCCCACAGACCTCCGGGACCACCGGAGGGATGGGGGCCGTCCAGAGCCCTTCACGGTGTTCGAATCCCGGTGCAAATTGCTGCTGCTTCTGCGGGAAGCGGAGACAAAGCCCGAGCGCGTCGCCTTGGGAATATCTGCTGTATCTGACTTGAGATTTTAATAAAACACCGAGAAGTTTGTAGTACGTTAGACTTTAACGGTATCAAGAATATCTTCTTGGATTGCTTTTGTTTAGGGTTTATTTGCTGAGGCTGACTGTGGTTGGAGCTTTGGTAACGCTCCGTTTTGCCACTTTGCCCGGCATAAGAAGGCGTTGGGTTTATCTTTGGGACTTTTGGGCTGGAAAAGAGATGAGAGGCGCCCCCCTCCCCAAATCCTCTCCTTCCTTCCTCCCTCCCTGCATTCCAAGCCCATGACATCAGGGGTTTCTGGGGGGAGAGACCAGCCAATCGGCGCGGAACTGCGCACAGAACGCTCATTGTCTCCTTTCTGCTGTTCTGGCCAAAGCGCCACAAAGGAGGGCTGCTGTGGTTTAATTCCCATTAACCTCCCTGGAGCCGAAGCAGGTCAGGATTGCCACCGCACCGCCCGACCGCCGGTGGAATTCGCCGGCTTTGTCAGAGTTGTCACATCCCAGCGTTGGGGGGGGGGTGTACCCAGTGTGGAATGAGTTATAGAGAGGCCATGAAGCACCGTTGTCACACCCCGAGGGAGAACTGTGGCTCTTTTCACCCTCCGTTATGTAGTCGCCGCATCATATTACAACTCAGTTGTTAGTAAATTCTAAGTAATCTTTGAAGTAAGGAGTTGACTTTAGTCTGTGTGTCTAAAATGGAAACGTTTAGGTCTTTAACTTGCCAAGTGTGTTGCCCATATTAGAAACGGTTTTCTGAACATTTCTTTAAGGAACAGAAAAGTGAGTGGTTTCTGTATGATTGATTTCAAACCCCAATTGAAAACTTGCAAAATACCCTTCTGTTCTTTCCAAGGTTTACCAGCAAAGCTTTAGGAATCCTTTCAGAGGAATCAGCATGTCCAAACTGCTGGCTGTGGTACCCTGGCCGGGCTTGTGTGCATTAATTTTAATTCACCCTTGTGATTCTTGGCTGGTGGCAGTTGAGCCTACCTTTTGCATTGTAAATGAGGTACTGAGAACTTTGGCCGTCCTTCAAGTTACTGACTTGCCTTGGGTGTTAGTATCCATGTGAATTTCTCTTTGCTGACTAATGAAGCGACTTCTGCCCCTTTCTTACTTACTATTAAGCAGACTGAAGGAAATGCATAGACTGGGGCTAGATTGCTATGATTATTATACGTTTTTTAAAATAGTAAAACCTCAGCTTTCAGGAAAGTTAGTTTTAACTTTGGGTTTATATAGCTGTGGGTTTATCCCTTTAAGCATCAAACCATCCTTAATAACCCCTTTCATTTATAAGGTCCTTTCATACGGTATCCTTTCATAGGAAGTCTTTTGATGTCGACAGCAGAGCCGCCCTGCGGGGTGGGGAGGATTCCCGGGATTAGCCAATGTCACTTACAGATCAGGATGCTGAAGCTCCAAAAGATGCGATTTGCTCACGATCACAGGAGCAGTTGGCATAGTCTAAGGACTTTTAACTCTAAGCCTGATACCTTAATTTAGTGAAGTGCTTAGGGTGTTCGCTGCAAGTCACTATTGTCTGCCCCCACCTCCACCCCTCGCCCAATTTTCGCTGTCCACCTGTCACTTCTTGGCATCATGATTATACATTTAATGCTGTTTTAATCTCTTCTGGGCTTGGAAGTAAAATATCCATGTTTGCTAGTCCTTTTTGTGAGATACTGCATTTTGACTGAGGGCTCAGAACCACCTGATGAGTGGGTCTGTGGAACATGAACTTGACACTGCTTGGTTTGGACACCTTTAGATTCCTTCCTGCTTTTTCTTTATGTGTTGCATAACTGATATGTTGCTTAAATATAAGTTTTTCCCCCCTTAAAACCTCGCTTACAAAGTGGGGAAAGTGTAAGCATCCTGGGGAAAGTAGTGTGGAGCGGGCTTTGGAGTCACGCAGGTGTGGGTTCTAGTCCCCTTTCTGCCACTTCCTGCCTTGAATCATGTTGGGCAAGTTATCTGATGTTTCTGTCCTTGTTCCCTAATCAGTAAAATGGGGGGAAATGATAGTTAATCACCCCTAAACTCTGCATTGTTGACATGTGTCTGGCTTGCAGTTAGTATTCAATGACTATGTTGTACTATTAGTTCTTAGTAATAGAAAACTAATGTTGGTATTATTTCTTAAACTTGTATGTCACTGCCTCTTTAAGTATTACATTTCTATTTTAAAAGTCTTTGGGGTTTTTTGTTTGTTTGTTTTGCCTTTGGTCTTTTTAATTTTGAGCTGTGAAGACAGTTCATCAATGAATTGAGGAAGTCTTTGATCTTAGATACTTTTAATTAGTAAAATCTCAGGGGAAAAGACAGTAAACTTCAGATATTTGTTTGACAAGATAATAATTCATGGCAGAACATACAAACTTACTTTTTTAATAGGTAAGAAGATGTTTGAAGACAGGCTTAAAAAAGGAGAATCCTTCAGCCTGTATGTTTGTTTGTCTCTTTTCACCAGCAGTAACACTAGTGAGACATACCAAGATCTGTATTTTAGAATCTAACTCGGCACACAGTAGTAGACGCCCAATAATTATTTGCTGATGTAATGAATTTATCCATCAGGTATAGATTTTACCGTCTCTAGAAGCTGGAAATCAGCCCTGTTTGAGAAGTCTCTGTAAAGGAACTCTGTGGTGCAAGTGTGATATTTTTGAAGGACGTGGTGATTTTTACAGCTTGTTTTTCTTCAGCAGTTTTTTAATTAGTTTATGTTACATTGAAA